AACATTCTTTCAATAAAGGATGATGTCTGACATTGTCCAGTTAAAATAAAAACAGCAGTAAAACCATAAAATATGCCTCTGTGTTGATAGCATCTTAGCAAAATAACAGGCGTCATGGTTGGACCTCAGCACCTCGATCAATGTGAGGCGTTTGGAGCTTATGCTGATAGCAGCCGTCTGGCTCTTCTCATCCACTGAACATAGACCCTGTAATCCGTTTTTAAAGTCGATTGAAAAACTTCTCTGGGAAACAAAGCAGATACAAAAAACTTTTCCCACTTTCATAACTTGGTGTGGCTTTAACATGTCGCAGACCTACGCCGTTTAAACTTAGACATTTATAATAAATTAGACTAGATGAGTAATAATAAGCTGAAAAAAGCATTTGGTATAATTTATATAAAAGTCTGCACACAGAATCGTTGTAGAAGACCCATAACCTGCCCCACCTATTGCACCAGCAGTTTAGTGCTCATCTGCTTTCTTTGAAGATGGGGTCCATAATGCCTCAAACATAGAAAACCTGGTTTTAGATGTTAAAGAAGGGCTCAGTGTGCCATCAGATAAACAGGAAACACTTTACAGCTGGTGTTTTTCTACTCAGAACAAAGGGCAGAAAAAACACCGAAAATTATGCAATTAAAGGTTAGACTTTAAGAAACATCCACTTTTTATGCATTGCTAATAAATACTGAAAACTTCTCACTGTAGATCATACTATCTTTATGATCTACAGTGAGAAAAGCCATCTAAAGTGAAAAGCCAGATGATGAATGAATATCAATGTGGACTCAGATCCTGCTGGATCTCTGGGTTTTGATCAGATTCAGTTGTTAGGCAATATATTGTCTGAATTAAAGGAAACAAGAGTTAAACATGTTTAAAGATAAAATCAATCCTCTGGACTTTGTTTCGAAGTCTGAAGACGTTTCTCTTCCATCCAGGACGATTTTTCAATTCAAAATGTCAGAAACAGCGTTTAGTTCCAGGTTTTATAGACCTGCACATTAAAACGGGTCCCCCCCTTTGGAATGGGGGTCGTTTGAGTTCTTCGTTAGCCTGCAATGCCCCATACCTGTCTATGTCTCTGAAAGGGGGGGGTCGTTAAAGGGAATTGTTGGCCTGGCTGAATAGGAGAGATGATTTGCTCCCCTGTATGGTGATGGGGGGGCTGCGATGATAGCGGGAAGGGATCAACTCTATTGCTGCATTGAAGGTTTCTGAAAGTTAAAATCTGAGCCCCCCCCCTATTTAAGGTTGGTTTTGAGTTTTGTAGTTTTTTTTTTTTTAAGGCACTAATAGCTAATTTTTTTCAACAGTAGGTTGACAGGAAAGGGGGGAGAGAGGGGGGGAGACATGCAGGAAAGGACCACAGGCCAGATTCGACCCTGGGTCGCCTGCATAGAGGACTAAGGCTTCTATACATGGGTGGTGTGTGATAACCGCTCCACCTCTACGCCCAAGGTTGGTTTTTCTCTCTGAACATAAATGGCTTCCTTCACACCCCTCTCAAACCTCCTGTCCTCTTTGTCCAAAGATCAGAGCATTCCTCCCTGCATTGAACTGCAGACATCACTCTGCTTAGATTAGGTCTTTAGGATGAACTAGTCCCTGTTTAAAGTTCTGTTTGGTTTGAAATGTTCTGGGATTTAGAGTTTGGAGAAAATCCTCTGGAGTTTTTCAGAGACTGCTGTATAAAAACTGGAACTAAACGCTATTTCTGACATTTTGAATTGAAAAATCTTCCTGGATGGAAGAGAAACGTCTTCAAACTTGGAATCAAAGTCCAGTGGATTGATTTGAACTTTTTTGGAACGACTATGATGACTGAGAATCTTCACCTGCATCCTTTGATATATTTTGAACATGGCTGCGGATCTTTTTAGGGCTCAAAGATCAGGAGAAGCTTGTTAACATGTTTTGTTATTGTGATTTCTAGACATGCAGCTCTGTTTAGGTATAAAGCAGTAAAATAAAAATTCATGTGTTTTGAACAGGATGATGATTGAATCCAAATCAGCCTGTTTTCATTCGCAGAACTGAATCCAATAGAAAAGTTGTGTGAAGAGCAGAGCATTAAATGAAGGCTAATCATGTTTTGGGTGTACTATTCCTTTAAGCGAAGGCAGGCCGACTGAGAGCCTGAGCGACGCTCCTAGTTTTCTCTCTTTGTGGATTACCGAAGGTGAATGAATGCTTTATCTTACTGGTTTAAAAAGCTGAAAACAGGCTGTTTTTTTCCTGAATGCATGTGATCAAAGTCTATTTCTAAAGATTTCCATCTCAGGCTGTAACGCTCTATTAAAGGTGGAGTTCTTATTCAAGGCTCTTTTCACACCTCCACCCAACGGGTTTGTCCTCATCGGCATACAGCAGCCAGGCCCTGAGCTGCTCATTTACCATTTCTACAGCAATGTTTGTCTTGTCAGGGCTGCAGGAGTTTCCGTCAATACCGGCTGAGGTCACAGCGGTAAGAGAGAGCCCAGTCCGATGGAGGACAGATGCAATCAGAGCAGTGACGAACAAACACAGGAACTGTAACGTAGCCGAGGCGCTAAGACATGAAATAGCACTTTGGGGAATTCGCTTAGCTTCAACACGCATATTCACACAGACATACACGGGCACTATGTGGGGGCCGATATCTCCCCACAGAGCTAGCAGCTCATCTATTATTCATCCCCTCCTCTAATAGGTCTGATATTAGTTAGCAGAGCGTTCTGGGGGGGGCTGATCAAAACCCGCACACCGCTGTCTTTGGGTTGAGACACGCTGTCCTTCTCACACAGAAACACGTTTAGAAAAAGGCCGTTTCCAGAATAAGCAGCAAAAAAACAACAAACTTTCCTGTTTCTGTTCCCATTTGGATATAATGATTTTAATTAGCTGACATAGATGACATTCAGGAGACAAATGCTCCCACAAATGATTTCAACCATCTTTCAGAGCCAAATGAGGCTCTCTGCTAGTCATTGAAATTCTGCAGCGTTATTAGCTTACCTGGCTGATATCCATGCGTGCATCACAGCTTAGCGGCTGCGTCGACATCAGTCCGTTAGAGCCAATCACAGTGGAGAGCAAACCCCGCTCATTAATCTTCTGAATGGTGGTGCCATCCACGAAGTACACAACTCCTCTCTTATCCACAGCAATACCTGCGTGGGAGAGAGAAAGTAAGGATGAGCCTCTGGAAATGACGGGGGGGGGGGGTGAAAAAAACAGGTAAACCAAAAAAAAAGAGACCGAAAGAGGAGAGGAGGATAGTTGAGAGACGAGAGAGAAGAGGGCTTCCAACTCGGTTAGTCATTCAGCTCGGCAAGCGGCTGTCTTATCAAAGGCACTGCACCACAGAAATGTAATTATATTTCCATTCCAGAGCCCACTAAAGGGATTAGAACAATGCAACGGGAGGAAGAAGTTATTTGTCACATTAGATGTGAGCGGGGTGCTGCAGTGAACTTTTGACATTTGACGCCTGTGCAAATGTGCATTATAAATGGGCGGCCGCTCTTCAAACAGGCCCAGGCTGCGTGCATGTGTGCATATGTTTAGCTTTACTCTCACACCGCCGCTTGGACAGCAGCTTGCTAAGTGTGCTCTGCTATGGGAAGCATATACTTGAACTCTCCTTGTAGAGGAGCACAGCAGCATGAGGAGAGCAAGGAAAAAGGAAAAGAAGTAAATCCAGGTATTAAAGGTCAGAGCAGACTATGAATCATCTGTTATGGATGAGGAGTGACCTTCATTTCTGCCTCATCTCCATGCAGAGAATAACCCTTTGACTCAACTACTCTGCAATAATATCCGCCGACTCAACCCTCACCCCGTCCACTTCGCATGCAGCCAATTCCCTGGGATTGCCTTCACTTAGCATCCGTGACAATAAGCCATATTTTAGCATTGCTTCCTCCATCTCTGGCTCCATCACTTCATTTACAAACACATTTGGTTTATGGCTCATCATTAGGTCGTGTCAGATTTATGCGCAGATTTCTTTGTCTCAAGCATGCCTCAGAGGACTTTATGGTAACAAAAGCTAAAAAGGAGAAATCAATCAATGTAAATAGAGTGCAGCCTGAAACCAAAACAATTAAACGGTACAAGGAGGCATGATGGAAGGTTAAAAACAGATTCATACAGAAATCCATTAGCTGCTTAATTGAGCAATCACTTATTTGTTTTGCCTTCTTCCCGAATTAATTTGACGATTGGCCAAAACATGTTGGCAAATTTTGCCCTGTGACACATCCAGCAGAGAGTTAATTCATTTATTACGGTTCACTTCATGCATTTATGTTTCATCCAACAGCGCCTCATAAAAAGGAAACTATCTTAAAACACTACAGAGATCCGTCAGCTGTTGATGTCAGCTTCTAAACGACAATTTACTGCCAACATCATGCAAATATTTCCATCTATAGCTGAGCCAAAGGAATCGTTGCAAATGAAGAATAAAACTAAACTACAGCATCATTTAGTTTCTACACATAACTGCTGTAAACTGGGATCATTTCCCAAAACATTAGATAAAACCAGGAGAGTTTCACTTTCACACTGTCCAACTTTCTACATAAGAAAATAAAGGTTTCTTCTAACAGTCACATTTTTAAATCCCAATTAGTGTTTTTAAAACCCGCATTGAAACACCTGCTTTTATAGCCAAATGAGGCAGATTCAGGCTAAAAACATTAAGAAATAAACAGATTTTGGTTCTAGACTGAAAATCTTTGTTTACTTCATTAATTTGTAATTTGACTAAATGTTTGATGTAAAAATATTTCAGATTGTAGTTTTACAAAATTCGAGGATGATAAAGACCATCATAGTGAACAGGTGCGATCTGTATTCAGGTGTGCTACATGTGGTCTACAGGAAGCTCATACTGTCAGGTCTGTAGACTGTCATCCTGACCCAGCATGATCGGTCTGTAAACATTATTCTGTTTTCTTGTTGTCTTTCCTTTTAAATAATAATAATAATAATAATAAAATCCCTTTATTCCAGGTTTTAGAAGTGAACTAAACTTTCTCTCCAGAATCGTCCAAACAGACACACAGGAAGTTGTGCATAAAGACACAAACTGCCACGGCGGCTGGATTGGCGACCGTCCTCGCACTTAGCAACCCTGAGCCGACCCTGCGAGTCATAAATTGTGCAGGTGAAGTGCTCTGTAGACGGGAGGTGGGGAGGGGGGAGGACCAGGGTCATTTTGTTTCCTCCAGAGGCCAGGAGGTGAACTGCAGAGCTCTCCCTGCTGGCCCCTTCATCATTCCTCTGACACAGACAGATGACTCCCCCCTCAGACGGCACCTTTCCTCTGCTTCCCTCTGCTCTCCATCACACCTAACTTGATCTTCTCCTGCTCTTCTTTTTTCCCCGCTGCTCTCTTCTCTTTGCATTGTTGTTTTTTTTTTGTTTCCTGTATCTTCTGACTTCTAATCAAATCACTGACCTTCACCTCTTTGGTAATGTCTGCGCTCTGCTTTAATCTGTGCTCCTGCTTTTTTCCTCCTCCATACCAATCTTCCAGTCCATTCAACCTTGCTGTTTCCCCTCCTGTCGCCTGGCATTATGCAGGCGAGTCTTCGCCCGGAGCCTGCTTAAATCCAGGACCGTTACTTGAATCGCCATCCTCATCTTCAACCTTCCTCTTTCACTTTCCCACTCCGATCCTAAACCTGTCCCTGATCTTAGAGCTCATAAATCCTGCACAAGGACATGACGAGGCAGACGGCACTCTCTCCCAATACTGATTTCCCCCCGCCTCTCCCCCCACCCATCCCAGATATCTTCTCATCCACTTTGGCTCCGTCGCCTTCTTCCCTTCATCCAACCGTCCTCTTCCTCTTCTTGGGTTCAGCATGTCTTCTAAAATGCTCTAAACAGCTGCCAGTCTGAAGAAGAATGAAAACAGGACCAGACCAACTTGATCTCAGAGTCACACCGATGGAGACGGATCGCTGTAACGGCTTTGTGTTGGAATTATCACCAGTTTACGTTTCACAATGTTTGTTGAAAAGGCAGCAGATTAGTCCACATTCTCCTCGTCATTTTTCCCGCTGCTGCAGAGAAAGATGTGTGTTGCATTGTGGGAATTTAAAGCCCCTCTTTTTATCCAAAGATTTACTGTTTCTCACTGAGTGAACCTGACGCTCAGATGTTCATGTTTAGGCAGGCGTACCACCATGGAGTAATTGAGATAAATCTGTGCTCCAGAGGGAGACGGACAGTCAGACGGATTCAGGGATGGATCCGCCGTGAGAAGTGAATTAAAAGGCGCTGAGCTGACCTTGAAGAAACGGAGTAAAGTGAAAGAAGGAATGACGCAGCAACATATTTAAGCTGGAAATCCTGAAAAGTTCAGGAAAGAGAAAAAAGGGTAGTGATGAGACAAAGAGGCAGGATGATGAGAAGCTGTGCAAATGAAGCATTACAGGTCCATCCTTCTCTGTCTAAGGCATCTCTTTGCTGCGTGTCCCTGTCAAAAGAATATCCGCTGTAATGACCCCCTGTGGCATTGCAATCCAATCCAATCTGATTAATGCCTTAAAGACGGCGCCCAGCAAACGTCTTGTTGTGTTGATTACACATATTTGGAGAGAAAGAGCCACGAGGGAGACGCTGCTCAGAGAGGTGAGGAAAGGTGGAAGGTAGGAAACAAGATGAGGTGAGAAAGACTAATTATTACTAAAGTAGTAGATTTGTTTCTCCCTGAGGAGCAGCGGCTGAAAACGTGAATAGCATGGAGTTCTGCCAGCATGCTGCGTGTTGTGGCACTGACTGCTAACAGCTGAAGATTAAGACAGCAGGAAGTCAGATGTTTGGTTTCACCGTTCAAACGGTGTCAAAGGAGCCGCTGCAACAGGAAGCACAGCAATAAGAGGTTCCCTTCAGAGGCATTATTACCATAAATTATACCACTCAACTTTTTTTCTCTGTTTTTTTCTTTAATCCACAAAATCTGGAAAAGATTCAAATCTAACAGATTTTGATCAGTTTTATAATCTGCTTTCTGTTGACATTAAAAAGCTTCTGATCAAATTCTGCATGAATATTCAACCTCCTCACAAAATGTATTTCTGTGTTTTTTGCTGCTTAAACCGTGCATTGATAAAGAAATGACATGACAACACTACCGCCGTGCTTTACAGTGGGGAAAATCTTAGGCTTGAAAGGCTCCATTGACATGCATCCCAATTATTGAGGCCAAATAAATAAATCTTTGATCATTTTAACAAAATCTTTGATCAGTGAATATTTGGCGAAATCCTGATGCTCGATTTATCCAACAGAAATGTGGGATTAATCAAAAGCATTATTTAATAAGAGGCTAATTTTAAACACGTATATTCTAATCTATCAAATATTTGGGAGAGATTAGTTTAGATGGTTGAATCTTTGGTACCATGTTTTCCAACAATCCAATGGATTTTAGACAGAGAACACTTAAAAAAATACATTCAGAACCTGGTCATTTTCTGCCACAATTTTTCTTTGTTTATAGATTTTTCTGTTTAAAAAAACCAACAAACATAACCTTTTTAATTTTTGGACATAATTTTTCCCCCTGAATGTTTCTCTAATGTAAATGACTCTAGGTCAGAGGTCACGGATTAGCGGACCTTTTAGACACAGCAGGCAAACCTGTGGCAAGCCGGGTGCTGGGAAAGAAGGTGAAGACCATGAGAAAAAGAGAGCAGAGAAAGTGTGGACTGCTGGAAGAACTGCGGTGAACTGGTGAAAGAAAAGTGAAATGGCGTGCTCAAAGATGA